TGGATGGACTCTTTGATATCGTCACAAATGCTCGGTAAATTGAAAGAGAATCACTCTCAGTCAACAACACGAACGAAACTCGATTTCTTGCTAATGGAACAAGAGAATTCGAGAGAGAAACTAAAAGAAAATACTAAGTATTATTTCTGATCAAAAGTTGTGTCTTAATTCGAAATTACATAGGCTTTAAATAGGAAATGTGCTGAAATACTACAAAGGAAAGATAATTAACACCTAGGCAACAATTGTGGAAACTAGTCCACCTAGGCATTGCGAAAATGATAATAAGGAAAGGTAGGGGATCTCCTGGTGATTTGGCAGCAACGGCTAGTAGAAGAAAGAAATGTGTCATCAATCCCACAACTCCGAGCTTGCCATAGTTTGCGTGATGATGTATCCAAGAAGTTGCCTTAAGTGGGTCTAATGGCTCCTTCTCTTGCTGATGTGTTCTCCTTTCCTTAATTGGTGTGTTCAGATCAGGTGGTGACCAACAAGAGTTCAAACACGAGTAAACTCTTGCTGTTTCTTGATTTAGCCAGATCCAAGTTTTCTTCAGCCCTTGCATTGTCTCCGAACATCTTGATGACGAACTTGTTGATCTTCGCACGTAGATTTCGTGCCCTTTCTCGTGTGAGTGGCGGATCAGGAATTGTAGGGAAGGCAGGCTCGTGCTTCTCCTCTCCTTGGGTTGTAAGATTTCCCTCAGCCGTTTTGAGTGCTCCTTTGTCCATGTTGGGTGGTTCCTCGTCTGTGTCCAGCTCGATGACCTCATCACTAAATGTGTTTAAACGCACTCTAAACGTGTTTTGGTGCACTCAAAACATGTTTAGACGAATTCTAAAAATGTTTCGATGCACTCTAAACGTGTTTGGATGACCTGTAAATCAATCATCAGTCGACCTTTTTGGAAGGCGACCTGGTTCGACGAGATACATGCGGAGAGGACAGTTTTAGGCGGTTGGCAATGATCTTCGAGATGACTTTGTATATGAAATTGCAGCAGCTAATGGGGCGGTAGTCACCCAGTTTTTCGACCCCCACTCTCCTGGGGATGAGAGTAATAACCGTAGCGTTCAACTCCTTAAGTAGCTTCCCACTTCTAAAGAATTCTTGAACAGCAGACGTCAGTTCGGCCCCGACAAGCTCCCAAGTAGAGATGAAGAACTCTTTGATAAAACCATCAGGCCCTGGACTCTTATTATCCAGCATTGCCTTGACCACGAGCTAAATCTCCTCACTAGTCACCGGTTGAATTAGATTGGCATGTACTTCAATTGGGCAACGGAAGGATATTAGCTCATCAAGTCTGGTTGTGGTTTGGGGGTTACCTCATCATCTCGACGGCCCAAGAGATTCGAGTAGTAGGCGACCACATGGTCCTTGATAGCGGAATCCTCGAAACCAATTTGGTGTCCCTGGTCATCCACAAGGTAGTGGATAGTGTTCCTAGCGTTCCTCGCCTTCGCAGTCTTGTGGAAAAAACATGCGTTCCTGTCTCCTAGCTTTAGCCACCGTAACCTGGATTTATGTCTGAAGAATCTCTCCTCCGCAGCTAGGAGGATCTGCCAAGAATGTCACAGCCTCTCCTCTGTCGCCGCAAGCTCAGGAGTCGGGTGAGACATGAGTTGGCTCTGGATTTGCTCCAGCCTAGTACCTGCTTCGCTAGTACGGATGGAGAGCTAACTGAACTGGGTTCTATTAAGCAATCGAAGCGGCTTTTTGAGAAGCTTTAGGAATTGGCTGAACCCGAATTGGTGGGACGGGGACACTTGTTGGGCCTCCCAAGCCTCCCACGTCTCCTTAACTACCTATTTGAAATCAGGGAGGAGAGATAAGTGATGAAAATATTTGAAGGGACGGTGAACCTATCTATAGGAGGGCGGTACGCGGATAAGAATTGGTGAATGATCAGATGGGCCTATGGGTAGAGTCTCAGCATAACTACGAGGAAGGTCTTCAAACCAGGCTTTATTAATGAATGCTCTGTCGAGCTTGACGAAGAGAGGATCGGCTTGTTGTCTATTCCACCATGTGAATGATGCACCTCTATTTTCCATATCAATCAAACGAGTTGATTGTACACAGTCCCTGAACTCTTCAAGCCCGGGGGTAGTTGTCGAAGAGACCGAATAATCAGATTTGTCCTCAAGCTCCAAGGTCTGGTTGAAGTTACCCACCACTATCCAAGGAGACTGAGCTAGAAGGTGATTCCCGGCCAACTCTCTTAAGGTATCCCAAAGTGGCCTGCGGTCAATATACAAGTTACTGACATAAACAAATGTAACAGTAAACTTAGTATTACTCCCTGGAATCTAGATACCACAAGTGACTGCATGACGAGTTAGCTGATAGATGACGAGAGAAACAGATGGATCCCAAACAACAAAAATCCGGCCATTATTGTCCGTGGTGTGGTTACTTCTATATCTCCATCCTGGAGGTAACACACTTGCTACTCCCGTGATGTTGGCTGCTTGAACATGTATCTCCAAAAATTCCCCAAATAGGGGTTGGTGTCGCAAAATCCATTGTCGAATTGTGTGTCTTTTATTCCGGCCATTGAGGCCTCTTATTTTCCAATAAAAAAACATGGGTAAGCAGAGGTAGTCAGGCCTTCTTAGTGGACCTATGACCACCACGTTTCTTGGATTTTCCCATCTTCGGACTAGGAACATGATTCGCTTAGATTTGCTTGGCGAGGCCGAGGAAGAATGGGTAGCGACGGTGTGTGGGCAACCCATAGCCTTGTCCCCGACTGAGTTCTGAGACTGGGAGACATTATCCTCTGCCTTGGACACTAGAGGGCCAGGCACTAGGGAGGAAGCCGTCGGACAGTCGGTTGATCCCTCTATATCCAAATCACAAGGAGAACCTACAACGGCGTTAACCAAATCTCCCGGAACTAGGACTGTCGTTGAGGTATCTGACATGGATGGCACAACAACAATACTTGTTCCCATCGGTGGATCCGATGAGGAATCCGAGGGATTAGTACTAGACTCAGGTCGGACGAGAGTTGCTGCAACCGGAGGAGGGGTATGCGTTACCGAGTTCGGAAGACTAGGTGGGTCCCCTGAGCCTTTCTCAGGTGGAACCAGGATCTTCTTAGGTGGCACTTCTGTCCTCTTCTCCTTCCATTGAGCCGACGACTTCGGAAGGGGCATGCGTGGGCAACGAGATGACTTATGACCTATTTCTGAACAACTGCTACAAGTGGGAGGTAACCACGAGTAAGTGACATCAATTGTTATTTCACTACTAGAAAACAGCAAAAGGGTGACGCAACTTTTGCGTCACCCTTTTCAAAAGGTGACGCAATAGTGACGCAACCAAAAGCGTCACCATTCATACCGTCACCAATTCAGATTTCGTCACCAAGCGTCACCAAAGGGTGACGCAATAGTGACTCAATTTTTGCGTCACTAAATAGTGACGCAATTGCGTCACCTTTTAGCGTCTTAGTGACTCAAAAAGGTGACGCAATTATTGCGTCACTAAAACGTATTTTGGATTCAAAAATAATTTTTTTTAATCCCGAATCTAACCCTATACCCTATTCCCGACCTCTAACCTCCAACCGCGATCTTAACCCGAATCGGAAACTCTGAGATTGAATCCTCGAAATCCACTTCCCAGGAGGTCACCCATCCTTCCACTGCTCCAGCTCAAGCACGCTTAACTTTAGAGTTCCAATTGACAACCAACCAACTGATCCAAGTTAAACTTCTGATATATTACTACATTAATACATATACATATATAAATATTTATACTTATAAATATATATACGTATATATTTGTACGTATATATACATACGTATATATTTGTACGTATATA